GGTGGCCGCCGATAAATTCGACGATTACGGTGTGTGTAGAGCGCACAATAGCTGGGGCGGCCACAGAATCGCGAGGCAGATCGGCACGTACATTAAATAATACGTCTTCATTACACGTCGATGGAACAGGTCGCGTGGCATAAAAGAGCCGTCGAACATCGTGGTACTGCCCACTAGGATGACTTTTTCTGTCGGCCAGCCACGTTAGACGTGTTCGTTTTTCTTTTTTCACTCGTATAGCCTCGAGTCGCCAGCGAGAAAATTGAATGTCGACGTCGATTCCCTCGTTGTTTCGTTCTTTCTTCGTCTCTTTTTTTTTTTTTTTTTTTTTCTTTTCTGTGTGTAGAGCGCACAATAGCTGGGGCGGCCACAGAATCGCGAGGCAGATCGGCACGTACATTAAATAATACGTCTTCATTACACGTCGATGGAACAGGTCGCGTGGCATAAAAGAGCCGTCGAACATCGTGGTACTGCCCACTAGGATGACTTTTTCTGTCGGCCAGCCACGTTAGACGTGTTCGTTTTTCTTTTTTCACTCGTATAGCCTCGAGTCGCCAGCGAGAAAATTGAATGTCGACGTCGATTCCCTCGTTGTTTCGTTCTTTCTTCGTCTCTTTTTTTTTTTCTTTTCTTTTCTTTTCTCCCCCTGCCGCTAGTACTACTAGTAGTCGCCTTTATTCGTCGTCGTCGTCGTCCGCCGCTCCTATTATAAAGTATAATACGTAATACCGGACTCGGTGTTTCCCAGATTATCGTCGCTCGGCCAAGACGCGATACCCTACGCCTCGCGTGTCAATTAGACACGGTATATGAGGTTACAAAGTATGCCAGGTCTTTGCACCGCGCGTACTAGCCTCGTCAAGCCACGACATCGTTTCCGATCGTTAGGTAAAGTCGACCGGACGAGAAGCGATCTGCGTTCGACTCGTCAAAGACACCACCGCTATTTAACTTCAGACTGAGGATTACGCCGAGGTTTCATCCACGCTATGCCAGTTCGAATTTCCATGATAAAGATCGAGAGTACGAACTACCGAAGGAACGAACAAAGGTCCGCACGAAAGGCGTCCGTCAGGCGAAGGATGATACCAGTTACAGGTGGTCGTCGCGATTCCTTTACGAATTGTTACGCGATATATATACACACAGATGTTCGTAGTTACCACACGTACATCGAAATTTAATCGAGTGTTTTCTGATAGAATTCGATACGATAGACGCGATAGCAAGGGTGAATATCTCAAATTAGAATGCAC